GTTCGTTCATTCACTTATACATCTATTCGTCCGTTTTTCTACATTCCCCGTTCACACGGTAACAACAGAAACAGTAGTAACAGTAGCAATCACAAATCACAACTGCAAATGCAATAACAACAACAAAATAATAATAATAATAATAGCAATAATGAAAATAATGATAATAGTAATGATAAAAATAAAATTAGTAATAATAATAATAATCACTGCGGTTAAGTATCGCCAGTTTTGGCGGTAGGCTGCGTAAATCCCGACCGCGCACATCCCTATTATGGCGGCACCCTGTATGAAGGCCACCATGCCGACGAACTGGCGGCCGTCTGTTGTTTTTTTTATCTCCAATTTCGTCATCAGGTTCGAGCCTAAAAACTTTAAAATTTCGGATGAGTAGAGGATAGATTGAATGATGGATGGATCAATTGATGAATGAATCGATTGATGGATGGATGGTTCATTTGATCGATGGATGGATGGATGGATGAATGAATCGATTGATGGATGGATGGTTCATTTGATCGATGGATGGATGGATGGATGAATGAATGGATGGGTGAATGAATGCATGGATTAATGGATCTGTGAATGGTCTATTACAAGGGTGGGCAAATTACGGTGGCCCGAGGGGCCTCGTTCGCAGCAAAAAAAGATCGTCAGCCAGACATTATGACTAAAAAAGAAACCAAAAATCATAAAAATTTGCTAAGTACATATGCGGTCCTTTAAAGGTAAAATAGTTCTCAATGTGGCTCTCACAGCAAAAACTTTGCCCCTCCCTTGTCTAATAGGTGGAAAGTTGAATAAGTGAGTGAGAAAGTGGTTGAATAGATAGACAGACAGACAAACAGACAGACAGACAGATAGATAAATACTACTGCTATCACATACAGCAACGCATAGTGCAGTAACGTAGACAAAGTTTTTCGCCCATTTCAGACGCTTCTTATCTGTCTCGGTTTCAATGTAAGCTGGTTTTTCCTCTTCTGAATTTTCTATTATTATTATTATTATTATAATCATCATCATTGTTATTATCACTATTATTAGTAGTAGTAGCAATAGTAGCAGTGGTAGTAGTAATAGTAGTAGTAGTAGTAGTAGTAGTAGTAGTAGTAGTAGTAGTAGTAGTAGTGGTAGTAAGTAGTAGTAGTACTTGTAAGTAGTAGTAGTAGTAGTAGTAGTAGTAGTAGTAGTAGTAGTAGTAGTAGTAGTACTTGTAAGTAGTAGTAGTAGTAGTAGTAGTAGTAGTAGTAGTAGTAGTAGTAGTAGAAGTAGCAACAGCATTTGTTTTGTAGTGTAGTAGTATTAGTAATATAAGAAAAAGTAATGATTATACTTAGGAAAGTGATTAAAAATTTAAGGGAGCTGTAGCGTTAACTTACGATGGTTCATTATTGTAGGTTAATCGGTGGAACAATCAATCAGTCAGTCAGTCAACTTCTCAATCAGTTAAACATTTAATAAGTCAATTAACAAATCAATTAATTAATCTATCAATCGATCATTACAATCGATCAATCAATCAATCAAGCAGTTAATCTATCAATCGATCGATCGATCGATTGATAGATTTGATAAGTTAAATGTTTTTGTGTTTTTGTTTTTCAAACACATTCTGACGTCATTTAAATATTTTTGATCTTTTTTCGAATTATTTAAAAATGAAGTGAAATAAAATTAACTGTTTCGAGAATAATTTAGAAACTGTAACGACATTAACAAATAAATGAACGAACGAACGAACAAATGAGCGGACTAACGAATGAATGTATGATTGAGTGAATGAATGAACGAACGAACGAACGGACGAATGAATGAATGAATGAACAATAAATAAGGAAACAAAAGAAAGAATGAATAAATGAATGAATGAATGAATGAATGATTGAGTGAATGAATGAATGAATGAATGAATGAATGAACGAATGAATGAACGAATGAATGAATGAATGAATAAATAAACATTTGATCAACAGTTTCAAACTGCAGATGACACTAACAGAACAAAACACACACACACAGGCAAACATCACGCACACACACCATTCTTACGAAATCGAAAGCTTGGGAATTCCCATATTTATTCACAGTGTAATGTAGTAAAAACCTTACAAGGAAATAAAACAAGATGATGAATTGCGTAATGAATTACGTATAATACTACATTAAAACCATAAATTAATTAATTATTTTATTTAATAGATTATTTTATTTTGCAAAAATGTCAAACTTGGAAAAAAATCTTACATTTAAAGAGACAAAAATGAATATAATAACAGTTTTGGAGTGCAAACCAATTATGATAACCGAGCTGGAAACGCTATACCAGAAATTGTTTGATTGCCGGATCGGATGGCAAGAGCTCGGGTTCGATTCCTTGCTTGACCTGCTGTACAACATGCAAGATGTCCTGTCTATGTTAGTCTGCGTTTTTACTTAATTTTCTAATTCACCGCGTTTATTTATAAATAATTTCTGTGTTGTTTTTTTATGTTCTTATTTATACCACTTGGTGGGATAGTTACGTTAAGTGGTTTGGTTTGGTTTAGTTTAGTTTAGAGCACCGTGCGTTTGCATCGCAGAAGCCCGGTTCAAACGCACAAAGATCTACAGACTCATATGACGCCTTCATCCAAATTTAATATTTTTACAATTGTTTGAGATTTAATTGCACAGATAAATAAATTCAGTTGCGGTTGTTGTTTCAGTGATGGAAACGCCGTGAAAGTGAAAGAAAATTATTCGGAACCGTTTGGTCGCAGTTTAGAACGGTCAGTCGGTATCTCACCACCGACGCCTAAACAACCTAATCATAATCACTACCACCAATCAGCAAACACATCGTCGTCGTCGTCATCCACTCCGACAAGACGATCGAGTTATGCAGGGAGAGCAAGATTCGGCGGTGGAGGATTTCGCGGTCAATCTAGCAGGGGTAATGAATGAAATTTGGTTGATGGGATGGTCTGGATGCCAAATGCTTGCCTGGTGCTGTGTCTTTGCTGCTGATGCATCTGAAAATGCTAGAAAAAAATTGTGAAAATAAAAATAGAATGAATAAAAGTAATTAATAATATTTACATCAATATTATCTCCTAATTAGAATGTCTCATTTTTGATTATTAAGGGTTTTCATTAGCAACTTTGTAAAACTAACGTTAATGCAATGTTAAAAACAGGTAGGAGGGAGTATGCAGGGAACATCTGGGACTCATCCCACTGGCTGCTTAAGGTTGACGGGTTATCTGATGACGTCGATGAGGTGGGTTCGCTGTTGTTGTTGTTGGTTGACGGTGATGTGCTGCTGTTGTTGATGTTGTCATCATCATCTTCATCTTTGTCATCATTATTATCGTCATTATGTTCTAATCACCAGCATAATTATTAACGTCATCATCATCGTCGTCGTCGTCATCACCGTTTCTCGTTATTATTAATCCACTCTCCTACGTAGGATGACCTCAGTGAACTGTTCAGTGAATTTGGCTGCCTGCGTGTTGTCATCAAACGAAGTCAGCAAAATGAGCAACGGTTGGTTGGTTGGTTGATTGATTGGTTGGCTGGTCAATTGGTCAATTGGTTGGTTAATTGGCTGCTTGGCTGTTTGATCAATTAGTTGGTTGGCTAGTTGATTGGCTGATTTGCGAGTTTGCTGGACACGTATTGCTGGTATTTATTCATATTTGGTACGCACCATAGAAAGATATTTTAAAATTTTTAAAAAATTCTATAAAAAAGATTCGCTATTGTAGAGATTGAAGATTACAATGAAGCCTGTGATGCGTTCATCAAGTTTGACCTCCAGGACTTCAAAGGCGGCCAACTTAACGTACAATTCGATAGAAACTCCATGGCTAGGAATCAGATGGGGGTGGTTGGCAGACGAGGTGGCTGGCAAAGAAGGAGAGGACAGGAAAATAGAGAAGGAGAAAAGATAAGAAAAATAATAGAGAGAGAAAGGGATGAAGAGAGAGAAAAAATAAGAGAGAGAGAAGGAGAAGAAGAAGAAACGAAGGAAGATGAGAATTTAGGAGAGAAAGAAAAAGAAAGAGGACAGAGAGAATGTATAAGAGAAGGAATAAAAGAGAGAGAAGAAAAAGTAAAAGAGAGAGAAGAAAAAAGAGAGAGAAGTTGGAGACCAGAAAATACGGAAAACAGAGGATGGAGACAAAGAGGTGGGCCTATTATTTCCGTAATTTTTGATTAATAATAAAAATTGTTATCTATAAAAATTTGTATTATAATGATGTCAATGGCTGATGTGATATGAACAACTTGATCAAAATCTCAGGCCACTGAAGTTAAATCGTTGACGGCAACCATGATAAGTTAAAATGAAATTATCGAAACTTACTTTTCATCTCTCTCTCTCTCTCTCTCTCTCTCTCTCTCTCTCTCTCTTTTATTTTTCTTCATTCTTATTCTCTACGTCTTTTACTTTGTTTTTTATTTCTAACAATTTAAAATTCAAAATCAAATTTTAAGAAAACTTCACAATTGTGCGTGCCCCCCGACCCAAACCCAATGAACCATTAAGAAATACCCCTGCATATAAAACATCAACTCAAGTGCGATCCTCATAACAATAATAATAATGATATTAATAAGAATAACAATAATTATACTGTAAATGTAGTAATAATATTAATAATAACAACAATAATAATGACTTCAGAAAGATACGACCCATCCATGCTAAAGGTATTAAGTGATGTTTGCATGGATAGGAAGACCTACGAAAGAATGTTCGCGGAGACGGGGATGTCGTCTGCTGCGTCTTTTGAAGATTTGCCGCGCGAATTAGAGCTGTTTGTCTTTGAAAAAACTGAGGATGAATTCTTCTGGGCTGCTGTTGCCAACGAAGAAGAAAAATTTGTCAGTGAGATGATTAACTTTATGGCTTTCTAGATAGATATTTTATTGTATTTACAAAAACTTATTGAATTATTAAATTAAACTTTGTAAATGTTTCCTTCCGTTCAGTTAAAAAATTTTCGTAACTTTCAAACGTTACTTGATGCGATAAATGTGGATGACCTTGTTGATCTTGTGGCAAATGAGAAGAGGTGCTGTGCTAACTACCAAGACACTCTGTGCAGGTTCAGAGAACAATTCACTCTATCCTTCCATTTAATTATCTCAATGACATGACTATGCATGCATACTATTTTGTTGGCTGCTATGAGGATCTGACGAACGCGAGGCTGTCTAAACTAGACTTTTCAGTAATAACACTATTGTTGCAGCAACGACTACACATTCGTATAGAGACACACAGACACATTCTCGCGCATGTTCAATTCCTGGCTGCATAACAGACACGCACGTGGCGAATGACAATCTGTTAATTTCGTGTAGACGGCATTTGAGTTGAGTCAGTCCTCAAAAACTACTCGAGATATGAGATACTTTTAGCGTCTGAACTATTCTGCTATCTGCCAAACTAGGATACAAACTAAAAAATGATTGATGATAACAACTTCACATACAATACACAAATTGATTGGTTGATTGATTGGTTGGTTGACTGACTGATTGATTGATTGACGTAAAACATCAAATACCAGAGCGTGGATAATGAAGGAATGTTCAAATAGCGACATGTTTGAAATATTTTACGTGGATTACGGAACGAAAGAATTGGCCATGAAAAAAGATCTGAAGATGTTACCAGAAGACCTTTGGAAAGAGGCACCATTCGTTCTACCATTTTATTGCCCTGGTGAAATTTGGTTTATTTCTTATTTAAACTTGCAAATTTCAATAACTGAAACAAAACCCTGGATATTTATTACTATTAATTACTAATAATTACTTGACGATTCTTACTTAAGTATTAGGCAGTAAGAAGGATCAAATCGTTGCAAATAAAACATTCAAAGCCAGGCTACTAGCCGTATGTCGAAAGCAAAATAATTTGGTTAGAAATATATATGTATGTATATTAGAGGGGAGCGGGAATTGAAATTTGTTCTCAATTCCCTCCCTTTTATTTTCGCACGTAGATGCCATTTTTACCCATTCCCGCCCGTCATTCCCGATTCCCGAACTGTGATTCCCTATCCCTTAAAATTCCCACTCCAGAAAATTAAGTTTTACCCGTTCCCATGCTCACCTCAAATATATATGTAGTATTAATTAATTAATTTTTATAAATTAATTTTACTAAATGTTATGATAATGAGCTGCTATTACCTTGGCTATTACATTCATTCCAGGACCACATATTCCAAATAGAGACAATGAAAAAATAATCTCAATCACATCCGTCTGCTAAATTAATGTACTTATTTGATTAAACACTAATTATAATTTCTAATTAATAAAGTGATTTATCAATATTTTAGTAACTTAGTTATTTTACCAACCTGCATATTTTTTTTGTTCGCCATACCCGCCTAACACTGTCCGTCGTCATAGAAATGTACTAAAAGTGAATCTAAGCTTGTTTAAACAATTTTTTATAAATTCGTTTCTTTATAAATTTGTGTTAATTTGAATTAATTAATTAATTTTTTGTTGTTGAGTTTTTTAATATTTTGTTAAAATGAAATTGTCACAAAATAAAGAAGAATTTCAGGGTTATAAATTACAATAAGTTGTTTCTTCTTTAATTTTTAATAAAAATTTTTTTATAATTTTATATTATCAATCCTTGTTTATATTTATAATGATAATGATATTCATTAATGACATTCATTAATATTAATCGTAATGTAATGTATACAAATGGCCAAATTAATACAATATAACGATAATATCATTATAATGGCATGCATGGCACAGAACAATCAGACACACACACACACACACACACACATACTTTGTCAAATATTCAAATATTTTATGTATTAGTGAGGTTATTAATTGTATTATAATTTTAGTTCTGATGGCAAGTAACGTTGGTTTTATGGGAATGGTTTATTTAAAATATAAATAATTCTTGAGCTTCATTTTGTTACACAGCGTACGCGTTTGAATACAAATGAAGTCTTATGCCAAATTCTTATTTGATCTTATTTCGTTTATTTTTTAAAATCAAATAAAAGTTAAAATATGTATTTTTAATGCGTTAATTTACATCAAAAACTTTATAAATGCTGTTTAAATGTACGTTTTTGTCGTAAATACCTCTGAATTAATTGTTACCACAATTGAAGAGTACCATTATATTGAATTTCATCACTTATAAACAGTAAAATCCTTTATTTTAATAATTTGTTCATTCAAAAATAGCGAGATTTTTAATAAATGATTGGTTGAGAAGAGCTGAAATAAGTTCAACATACGACGACGATGATAACTGCTCGTTATCTCTCACCATCAAAGACCAGCCGATCAAAAAGAACAATACAAGTATCAAAAAGACGACAAAACCAAAGAAAAATGACACCACTAATTCTGATTCAATCAATGATTTTGACGAAGGTAAATAATATTAATAATAATAATATTAATAATAATAACAATAACAAAATAATCAAGATGATGATATTGAGAACGAAAACGGCCAGATTGTGTAATGTTTAATGCCAAGAGATCCTCACTCCTCATATGCTTTAAGTGTGTGCGTGTGTGTTTGTGTGTGTGTCTGTGTGTGTGTCTGTGTTGTTATATGCGTTTTAGAATCTCGTATCTCGTACCATATAAAATAATAAACATGCTCGTACATAGAGCACACGCACACTGTATAATGTATACGTCTTATAATTTGAAAATTATGAAACAGAGAACAAATTACTTAATAGAAATTAAAATTAGTAAAACTACTAACTATAAAGTACGAAACGAAATGAAAACAACTTACTCGCGAAAGATTGATAACAAATTTCTTACTAGATTCAAAACCGGAAGCTAATGGAGGGAGTGAATTCGTATTCTCGGCTGTAGACCACTTCATAAACCAAAATAAAATCGTCAAAGACGTCTTTTACAAAATTTTGAAGCATAGCAAACCGAGCAATCCGTCTTTAAATATGGAGAGGAGGCACGCTTTGGTATGTCATTTTCGTTATTATTGTCATTATTATTATTATTGTTATTATTATTGTTGTTGTTGTTGTTATTATTATTATTCATTACAGATACAATCTCGAAAAGAAGAGAGAGAGCGAGAGATGGAGAGAAAGGAGGAAGAACTAAGAAGAAGGAATGAAATAAAAGCGGAAGCACTGAAGTTAATTGAAGAGGTGTAGTTGCTGTTGACGTTGCTGTTGCTGTTAATTTTGCTGCCGCCGTTGTCGTTGCTTTATTTTATTCTGACGTCATTACTATCTTTATTTATTTATGTTTTTTGTTTCATGTATCTTTTTCTGTTTAAATAGGAAGAGAGAGAGAGAAGACGTCTGATAGAGTTAGAAGAAAAGAGAGTAAGGAATGAAGAGAGGAGGAGAAAGCAGGAAGAAGTTACGAAGAGGAAGAAGCAATTACTGTTATTATTATTGTTGTTGTTATTGTTGTTGTTGTTATTTTTATTATTATAATTGTTATTATTTTTTTTCTAATTGAAGAATGGAGCAAGAAAAACGAACAAATGAAATGATAGAGAGAAAGAAGCAAAGGATTGAAGAGATAATGTTAAAAGTTGACGCTGATAACAAGATGGTATGTTTGACGATGATGACGACCATGACGACTACGACGATGACGATAATAAAGCGATAGTAATGATAATGATCACAACATAGATTTTAAAAAGATCATTTGACCGTTGGAGGCAAATAACAAACGAAAGCAACCTTTTCATGATGAACGTGACGTCACAATATGAACATCAGCTGACGGCAAAGATATTTAAACTATGGAAAGCCAACGCCGATTATAGGAAAAAATTAATAAACAGCATAAACGCTACCACTACTACTATCAATAATAATAATAATAATGATAAAATAAATAATAGTGATGCAGATGACGATGATGATGATAGAGTGATTGATGAAACTGAGGAACAACGTCCCCCAACGGCTAAGTAAGGCTTAATTGTGAAACATTTTTCACCTATTCGAATTTATTATCATTGTTGTTGTTATTCTTATTATTTTTGTTATTATTTTTATTGTTATTATTAATTTATTTAGCGCAAACTTTCACGGACATCCTCACCGTTATTTATTTATATTTAAGAAAATTATTTTCGGTTAAGAAGCAGCAAAGGGCAGAAATCGAACGCAAAGAAAATAAAAGCGGGCAAGAAAACTCAACCACCACCAAGAACAACATTAACAACAACAACATCAACAACAACATCTTTAACGACATCAACATCTTCAACAGCAGTAACAACATCATCTAGGAGACCAACGCTAGCACCATCAACCATCAAAAATACATTAAAACCGCAATCGGCTAAATTGACGACAACAACAGCAGCAGCAAAAACACCAACAACAACAATCATGAAACGCCCTTCAACAGCAGCAACAACAACAGCCACAAAATCGTTACCACCATCAGCGGTAACAACAACAACAAAATCAAATAATATTAACCAACAATCAAAATCACCATTAACATCTGTTAGGTTTCATCAATCAGTCAATCATATCAACCATTCAACAAATCAATTCAATCAAACAACCAATCAATCCAATCGATCAACCACCAAATCCTATCAACCAGCCACCCAATCCAATCAAACAACCAGCCAACTGCCTGCTAGCTTCAAAGAGTTCATTCCAATTAACACAGCTATCATAGATATCAACTTTGAAGATTCCTCTTATGGAGATGACGCCGGCTGGCGTCCTGGTATCAATAAGAAACTCACGGCTAAATCCACTTTTAAAAAACAAACAAAAGTGCAGCAGCAGCAACAACATCGTCATCATCATCAACACCAGCGACAAGATCGTCATCAGCAACATCTCATTTCATCGTCGTCGCCATTATCACATTCGTTAGTATCGTCATCAATAGCAGCATCTGCTAATTACAACAACAAACATAACAATAATGACAATAATACTAATAATAGAACCGTTAAAAATAACAACAACAACAATAGTAATAATATTAACAATAATAATGATGATGACGATGATAAGATGTCTAAGTCTTCAAATGACACCAATGGCTATAATGGTTATGATAACGATAGATCCGACGATGACGATGATGATGATGATAGTAAGAATAAGAATAATAATAATAATAATAATGATAATGATAACGACGGTAATAATGACGATGACGACGATGAGTACAAATCTTTGATGGAGGAGGTCCACAAGGAACTAAGATCTGCATTATACATTAACGGGTGATTATTATTTTATTTATCAATATTTATCATTAATTATTATTATTCTTGCTGTTGTTGCTGCTGTTGTTAATGATGGTGGTGTTGTTGTTGTCGTCGTCGTTATTATTATTATTATTATTATTATTATTATTATTATTATTATTATTATTATTATTATTATTAAGAGGATCGTACATTATATTTTATATTTTATTTATTTACACTCTAATATATAATTAATAATTTTCGATGGATTCCATTTGGATTTTGTTTTTCGGTAAATAAAAGAATGTTCACATTATTATTATTATTATTTTTTTCATTATTATCATTATTATTATTATTATTAATTCCACCAAGAACCAATCAGAGGAGAAGACACTCGTCAGATAAGCAGCACGTTAAATTCTTAAAGAGTAAATAAAACATAATTTCTTCCTTCTATTTATTTCATTTTATACTACTACTGTTATTATGGCTACTACTACTACTGCTGCTACTGCTACTACTACTACTACTGCTGCTGCTGCTACTTCTACTACTGCTACTACTACTACTACTACTACTACTACTACTACTACTACTACTACTACTACTACTACTACTACTACTACTACTACTACTACTACTCTTACTACTACTACTACTGTTATTATGGCTACTACTACTACTACTGCTGCTGCTGCTACTACTACTACTACTACTGCTATTGCTGTTGCTACTGCTGCGGCTGCTACTGCTGCTACTACTACTGCTGCTGCTACTACTACTACTGCTAGTACTGCTGCTGCTACTACTACTGCTGCTGCTTCTACTACTACTGCTAGTACTGTAATAATAAATGATAAAAATAATGAAGGGTTTTGTCTTTTATCGTTGACAGGTATGGAGAAGAAACATCTGGAGAGAGAGAAAGTGAAAAGAGAGAGAGAAGAGAGAAAGAGACTAATGGAAGAGGAGAAAATCGTAATAATACAAATAATATAATGGACCCACTATAATAATAATGTCGTAGTGTAGTGGTTAAGATGTCTGGTCTTGTTGTCTCGCATTGACCTGGTTCGAATACAAAGTTTTCCTGCCTGACACATGCACTCTATGTGATGCGTGGATATAGAAATATTTACGTGCGCTGTGTTGTGTGTGTGTGTTTGTGTAGTCGCTGATATCTTCGAGAATTGATTTTTATTATTATTGTTGTTGTTGTTTTTATTGTTATTATTGTTTTTTCTGTCAAGGTGAGTTTGCAGAGAGAACAGGATGAAAGGAAGAAGATGGAGGAAGAGAAGAAGAAGATGCTTGTAGAGATGCTGAAGAAAAAAAAGAGAGAGCAAAAAGAAGTTAGTGTCTATGTGTATGTATATGTATGTACCTATTTACGTATGTGTGTGTGTGTCTGCTTATGTGTGTATGTGTGTGCGCGCTTATGTATATATATGAATGCATGTGTGTTGGTGTGTATGTGTGTAATCGTGTTTGAATAATTAAAATTTACCTATGTGCAATGCATATTAACGATTATTTTGCAATTTACACACGCACACACACACACGCACACACACACGCACACACATACACATACATACAAACAAACACACAACACACACATACACAGAAAGAAGAAAAGCAGAAACGTAATGAAGAGCGAGCCAGTAGGTTGTTCGTATTGGCGGACGAACAAAGGAAGAAGTTGCTGATGAAATACCACGCATGGTTACCATGGTTACGATACATCAACGTTGTCAAGATGAAACAGGAAGAGTCTGATGACCTATATAGAAGAAATTTAATGAGGTCGGAAATTTAGAAAATTCATTTCTAATTATTATTTAATTATAATTAGATCAATCCAACTGATAATTTTCAAGTATTTATATTTTGATTGTCAATTATGAAAGCGTTGAGTTTTTTTTCGTTCTTTATTTTTTTTGGCGTTGGGTTTTTTGATGAGTAAAGATCACTTTATGTAGCTCGTAGTTCTTGCTAACACTCAAGAAAAGAACAGCGCATCACACATTCTGACGTCATATGCAGATTAGTTCTTACGACAAGAAGTACCTAATTGGTAGCATTTAGTATCATTCTAACTTCAATATTACCGATTTAAAAGTAATAATTGAGATATACTATCATCTATCGTCGTTTAGGAAGTGTGTATCGTCTTGGTTCACACACGTACATCAGTTGAACGTGAGGAGGAATGAAGTGTGCACGCTGTTTAGAAATAGGAAGACACTATCTCTCTATCTTCACCAATGGATACATGTTATTTCCGTTATGTTTTATTTATCTGTTTGTATGCTATTACAAAATATAGAATTTTTTTTATAATAAAGCTGATTGAAACTTGAGAGTTTAAATGACAGTTTAAATGACTTAATAATAATTGGTATACTTAGTAATTCGTAAAATAATAATAATAATACTTTGATGAAATTATTTTGTCTTTTTTCCATCTTCGAATCCTTTTGAAGTACCTGGAGATGATGAGAGGCCAAGAGGAAACGTCGCGCCAACATTATGGCAGAAACATCGTTACTAAATATTTCAAATTTTGGAAAGTTTTCAAATCAGATGAAAAACTTGGAGAAGAGAGAAAAACGAAACTGGCGATTGGACATTATAACGGGTAATGACCAAATTATGTTACTTTGGGACTATTCTTAAATGACGTCATTTGGTTTTGACACGCATAAATTCGAGGGGGTGGGTATTTATTATAATTACTAATTATATTATAATTATCAATTTTCTTTATATAATTTTCTTTTTAGAGTTTTTTTTCATAGAGGCATCAAACAGCAAACAAGCACACTTAGCAGTGCACGTAAGTGCGCGTAAATCGGCGCTACATACACACACACACACACACACACACACACACACAATGCCTGTGGGATCTTCTGGCATTCGAAACCAGTCACTGTAACAGCAGTGCCAGGCGCCTTAACCATTACACCAGTCCTATAAATTACTAAAATTGCTTTCGTCATTTTAGCGTCATAAGGAGTAGATACTTCAAAGTATGGATGGATTTCCCACAGTTGATGAACGACGAACGAAATAGAGATCGGAAATTGATGGATCTGAGATCCAAGGTCGCCATGTTAATCCCAGATTTCAATCCGGAATAAAGTTGTACACGATCCGTAAGAGCCATTTCAGGATCCGGGTCAGAGAATATAAAAATTATCTACTATGATAATTAATCTTAAACTATTACTTTTATTTTAAAAAACTTTTAATAAAATTATGATAAAGGTATCTTTTTAGAGGTCTTTTAAATTCGGAGGTCCACGCCAAACACCCACCCAGCCTTCCTTCCTTCTCGTCTTCCAAACTATCGTCACAATTGTAATACTAATTAAGTTTTTACTGATTCATCAAGTGTGTTTAAACTTATTTGCAATTATAATAGGTTTTTTAAATTAAAACAAAAAGTGAAAGCACAAACGTTATCCGGTTAATTAATTTATAATTTAATTAATTGATTAATTAATTTGTTTTAAATACTTTCAATAAAATTAAACATAGTATTATGATAATTTCAACTATATATATATGAGCATACGTTACGTAACAATATCCACGTTTATTTATATATATAAGCAGTGACCTTAATGATAATATTAATAATAATAATTATTTGGCAGGTATAAGTGAATGTGCCGTCAGTTAGTATCGAAATGTATCGACATAGTATCGGATTGTATCGAGACATTGATTGATTAG